CAAGTTGTGGTTTACTTAAAAGAATTTATAGTTGATGAAGAATCTATTTCATTTTCATAGAGTAAGTAAGTAAGATAGAAATATCAAATCATATAAATCTTATGTTTGCTTTCATTATTAATTCTCTCGACTGTTCAAGAGAAATTCTCCCCTTCATAAAACCCTATAAATGAACTCACTTTACTCCGTAAGGAGGACGAAACTTTTGAGTGTCACATTCTAATAGAAGATGCCACATAAAAACTAATTTGAAATCCTTAATTTCTGTAATAAAAACATAATCACTGACCTTATGTTTTCTTGGACATGTAGCTGATGGGGTGTCCCTTTTATTTGAAATCAATTTGTAATGTGATTGTGTAGGGAAGAAACGCAGAATAATTCTTTCCCTCCTTGTGTATTAAAATAGGTTCCTCGTTAAAATACCAACTTAATATCCAAATGAAAATATCAACCAGCACAGCATAAATAATAGAGCAAAAATCAATAACACAATGAAATCAAATCTTTTTAACGTGAAAAATCCAATGTGGGAAAAACCACGAGACCGTAGTCCATCTCAAACTTCCACTATCAATAATAATGATAACAAGTTTACAATAGGACTTCTCTAGAATAACTAGAGGATCAGAATAACATCAAGATCATATATCTTGGCTCAAGAATAGCATATCTTCGTCATGTATGATGGATCTCATCGTAAGAGAATTCTAGGTCTCACAAAATAGATATCACAGGAAAATACCTTAGAGAGGGTAAACTATATATCAACACCGTTAGGATTGTAGAGTTTGCTGCAAGGATTCTCCACATAAAATTTGGGCCGAAACTGACAACATTTAGCCACCGATCGTCAAGCAGAAAACTCAAAAATCTAATCTTTCTCTCTCCTCTGCATGTCGCACAGCAATCGGATCTATTTTCCTCACATTCTCTTTTCCCTTTTTAATTTCTTTCATTTACTAATTTGAATTCAATAGGTCCAATTGTCCCACATTTGGCTGGACCCGACAGATTGACACTCCACGTAATATATGTAGATAATTAAAGACGGTTTAGAATAATTGATAGCATTTGTGTATCAGATGTAGACATTGCTTTAAACCCGACAACCAATTGATTCGGATTTGAATTCAGATTTATGCAACAAAGTATCAAAGTAGGTATTTGAATACCTAAGTAATTAGTATCATACGTTTGATCTAATAGATATAATTCGGCTTGATCTCTAAGAAATTGAACTCCACAATGTGGATGATATGCACTTCACTGACAAAGCAAGAAATCTTCTACCTGTGATGGAGAGTTGTGTGGTTCATCTAAAACATTAGTTTGGTAACGTTGTGTGGTTCATCTAAAATATTAGTTTGGTAATGATGTGACGGAGAGTTGTGTTAACCATCTAAAATATTAGTTTGGTGACGATACATGAGACTCACATATCGAGATTAAAATTTTAAGATGATAATTTTTTTACACATAAAATATTAATTTGGTTGTGTTGAATTGAATCCAAGTATGAATCTTATTTAATAAAATTTAAATATATCAGTTGACTTAATCAATAATAATCTTATAAGGTATTGTCAATTAAGATTGACTTATAAGAATCTGATGAGTATATTATTATTAATTTAAATATTTTGATTAGTGATTTAGATCAAACAAAGTTAATAGACCAATTAGCTCATCAAATTTGGGTCATGACATTTAGTATAACATAAAGAACCGTTTATTTATACTTTTTTATGTCTTAAATATATAAAAATTGGTGAATCTATTACATGCTTGATCTATGTTTTTAGGTGTACAGACTTCGGCCAATTTAATCACAAATGCTATAGGTTTCAGTGTCATTAATTCAAATACCTGTGTGGTACCTAAAGGAGATAGCAGACCACGTTCATCCTTAAATGGAGTTTATTTGCATGCAATTAGAAATGCTTGCAAGTAGTAAATGCATAATAACGACACATGCAACATATTCTTCAAGCAAGAGATGACAATTATGTAGAAAGATTATTGAGTTTATTAAACTGATTATGAATGTTTTGTAAGTTAATTGATTATTCTTTCAAATATGCAATCAGAAATAGGCATCCAAACCATTTACAGATACTGAAAATGACTTGCAAACAGTGAAACACTTGTAGTCGAGTTAATTGGTACAAAAAAGATGATGAAATCTTTCACCATGATTGCCAAATGATTTTGTGCAACACCAGAGATTGATTCCAAATAGCATTCAATTAGATCAGGTAGTTACTATTGGCACACCTTCTTGCCATACTCCAACTGAGCATTGTCTTGTTTCAAGGATCTTATCGACAGTAAGAGTAGCTTTAAAGCTAATACAGACTACACTACTTGCCATGATTCACGTGAGCATCATCTTGTTTCAAGATTCTTACTTATCTACAGGAAGAGTAGCTTTAGAGCTAACACAAACTACACAACAACTTGCCATGATTCATCTAACCATCATCTTGTTTCAAGATTCTTATCTACGGTAAGAGTAGTTTTAAAGCTAATTTGAATTATCTATAGAAGCCAAAAGAGAATCTATATCTGGAGTTAGGACAGCGCGCTTGTTGAGCTTCCCAAGAATGCAGCAGTGCTTCTCTTTGGTGTTAATTGCAGCAATATCTTGCACAAACTCGCACTTCACTCCAGGAGAAATCTGCACAAACGAAAAGTTTGTCTTATCAGAGAGATGGCTAATATTAGCCGATCGAAGGCATGGAAGAACATTGAGTTTGCGCACTGACATCAAAGAGTACATCTCCCAGCTTCATCTTCACTTTCCCACTCTTGTACACCATTATTTTCCCCATATATCCTGCAGAAAGATCTTCCAACTTGCAGCCCTTCATAGCTCCATGCTCTTTCTTACCGACAGTACTCGAGGAACTCATAGATGAAGCAGATCTATTAACCAATGGAAGGTTTGCGGGGAACTGAAGAAATAGCATCTGCGCTTCTTCCATCTTTTCCTGCCATCATTAGCAAAGAAATTAGATGTTAAAGTTTATGATAAAAGTGATCTTCTGCTACCGGAAAGAAAAAACAGAAGCACAAACCATCAATCCAAGCTCCTCTGCCGGATTAATCTGAGTCTCATCTAGTGCAGCACTTGCTGAGGCTTCCCCAAATTCCTTTTCATTGAGAATTTCTACAACAAAGTCGATGCTGCTTACAAGTGATGACAAGCATTCACGTTGCCTTAAGGAAACAGTATCAAAGTATACCTGGGTTTCCTGAGTTGGGCTTTCTCCAAGGAAGGGTCATTGGATAATATGAACGGGCACAATCCTGTGAACCCAATGTGAAAGGAACTTTTAGATGGAGTAGAGATTATAGTCTAGATGAAAGTTGTATATTTCATTACTCACCCAGGGTTCAACGTATTCCTTTACTTTTGGGCTCGGTTCATCAGACATATCTGCAGGACAAGATGGAATACTTAGAACTGCAGCTCATAGCTGATCATGGAGAAAGTAGATGCTGGTTAAAAATGATACCTTGAGTCTGAGTCTGGTTTCCTTTATCCCCAACTCTTGGGAATGATCTTGCTAATGTGGAATTTCCAAGTCCAAATGCAACTTCCGTTGGAGCAACTGCAGTCATAAAGTAGGGATGATGAGCCAAACTTAAATGTCAACTAAGTTAAACAACTCGGGACAAATAACTACATAAGCTTTCTACAAGGAACTGCAGTTCTTTTCTTTTAGCAACAGAGGAAACTCCAGAAAGGTCCAGCAACAGAGAAAACTCATATAAACAATTTCAATGGATTTTCCTCTAATAAAACGAAAGGATAAAGAATTTTAATCAAGTCTCCTTCTAATAGATGGTCCAAAACCAAAAGAAAAGAGATCTCTCTAATTGACAACATGCAACGTCAAACTTTTCTCTATACTTATCCCTGTCCTTACAGTGTCTACATAGTATCAGACTTAATTTTTTATAGCAACAGCCTTGGAAATTGGAATCACATCAACAGTGCCAAAAGCAGTAACAGAAAGCTACAAATTTCTTCTCAACATAAAGACAAATAAAGAAAACCCATGTTACTTACAAAATTTTGACAGCCTTTCACAGAAAGAAACCTAGTAAATATTATGGCGAAGTCCAAGTTGTGTCCAATAATAAAATCTATCACTAGCATAAGTTTCAACTCGATGTCCCAAACAAACATTTGCAAGCTTACGCTTGAGATTTCTCACAAACTTGGACATTGAAAATGAAATGAAGCATATGCAGTAATCTTACGTATGTTTGGAGGATATTAAGGATAGCCCCCTAGATAGTAGTACCAACTGTTGGGGATGGAGGAGCAAGGAAACGATAAAAACAGAATGCTATGATGCAATTAAAAAGAAACATTTCGATCAAGAAAACTGATGTAGTATTTAAACAAGAGGATTGACATAGAACACTTACAAGATATTCCCAAGTGTATTATCCTTCTATCTTGCTTCAAGAACTATGATCCTATTTATAGGACTTAGTGGTAACTACCTCACTCCACCATGCCACCCATGATTGAGGTAGTTATAGAAACTACCCTATAACTTCTAGATCATGGGCCACTTCTTGAAACATGCCTAAAACTACTTAGAACGTGGTAACTACCTAGATAACTACTATGAATCAATTCTCAACGCCTACATCAATTTATATAGTAACCCACTAACCCTTATAAACATTAAGTTTAGCTCATTAACAAGAGTGGCAGCACAGATTGAACTACCTACACCAGTGCAAGTGCAAAAATAGGAGCAAACCTTGTCAGCCAGCTTCAACAAATACATTATCACAATCTTATATGCCCATTTTGTTGGTTATAAACATAGGATACACTTCCATTTAAAAATCCCCAATTAATTTGATCATACAATTCCATGCTTAGCACCACTGTTAAAAGAATTTCCTCACTCTTGCTCTTAACTCTAAATCTAGTCACTTTCCGAGCAACATTACATAATACATTTCCTTGATTTTGGTCTCTGTAAATGTACCCATTTCAATTCCGATGATTCAATTCCAAAGAAAACAATCAGCTTTAAAGCATTTCTATTGTATGTTTGTTAAAGCTTAGTCTATCAAGATCGATGGATGCATCAAAGAAAAAAATTCTAAGGATATGAAGTCCAATGCATCGAAATGAAAGAACTTGGAGTTGGTGTAAACTATTATAGTTGAGATGTGCTGCTTGAAAATTTTGAGGTACATCTGGGAAATGGTTAAAAAAATCAAGCTCTGTTTAAATAACTGATTAAAAGAAAAACATGCATGCCTAGACATTTGAAAAGTTTATAGAAGATGCTGAAGTTGAGTCTTGGGGATATGTGGCTGACATTGTTAATGGAAAATGGTAACTACCACTAGCGATCAGGTTAGAAGTTGGAAGCATTTGGAATGAAGTCAGGGTGAATGTTACAACAAAATGTGAAGATCAGCCAGTCTAGACTTTGACAAATTAAAATAACCAGTAAAAAAGCGAACATGGAAGTAGACTAGACTCAGAAGGACAATAGTTGAATAGGTTAAGACCATTGGGTTCGAAAAAAACATCTAAACAACAATCAATTTATGGCTAAATGTATAAGAAAGTTGATGACTTGGACAAGGTAACTATGGGAGTTTAATCAAGAAAACTATAGTTTATTCAGCATAAAAAGGGGACATTGCAAATAGAATGCTAACTAGTTGAAATTTACAACCAATGATGGTTTTAAAATGTTATTAATTGAACATGGTTCCTCATCCATATCAAAGACCGTACCAGATTGTTCCATCAAAACTTATATGGAATCTATAAAATAATATCATTTTTTTCACATATTGTTGTCAACTTGTATGATTGAGACTGTATAAGTTCAAAATTTTATGCCTACTTAAGCAGGTAATAGAACTCAATAGTCGCCAGCACTCATAACATGATTAGAAATATGGCAACAGATAATAGAAGACGATGTAAAACAGACTAATCTTTATGTTCTCTTCAGGAAACAGGAAAATGCATCTTACAAATCAACTAAGTTCAAGCAAATAGCTCATACCATTCCTATCACTCCTTGGGAATCTCCTTCCTAAAGCGGCACCACTCTGCTTAACAGAGGGAAAAGTCAATCGAGCCAAAAAAAAAAAAAAAAATCCAAATTTAAAGACAGATCAAAGTGAAATGTACCGTTGTTTTCTGAATCTTCAAAAGCAGCTCCTTGCTGACAACATCATCATTGGCCTCAGATGGCTCCCTAAACACATACTTGACATGAGTTCTAAAGAACAGATTGATGAAGCCATTACATAAAGCATTCCAACACATACAGAATACACTTACGCTTCAGCTATGGAAGGCTTTGGTGCCTTCCGAGCAGGTATTTTTGGCGTAAACTTCAACTATAGCAACAAACAACATCGATCAAAATATTCCCAATAATTCACTAAAAATTGATCCGTAAAACAAAGAACACCTTCCGAGCTTTAGTAGTTGGACATCCATCTGGGTCCCGCTTCATTTCTTTCAACTGCAAAATTCCAAGCAAGTCAATTGAGCCGTCAGTATTGAGAACATGAGAAGTCGACCCCTTTTTCTCAGCAATTAGGCTGCAAACAAGTGATCAGTAACACAGCAAGTAGAGATCTAATGCGCGGGAAGAGAGAGATGGGGAGGGAAACGGATGCATACCTTCCGGGATTGTCGGCGGAGAACCTGCGAGAGCTCCCAGCTGCGGTGGACGATGGACCTGGTGGGTTGCAGGGCCGGAGGGCGAAGAAGAGGGTTTCGGACAACCCAAAATAGGCTTTATGTTCACATGTCGCATAACCAATTCTTCTCCCCATAACATTAGAAGCGCGTGTATTTGTATTTCCCATTTTGCCCTTTCTTTCCCTTTGAAATAGCAGCGCCTCATCGTCGTCTGCGACCCTCCACATAGATCGATCCTCGCGCCACCACCGAAGGGCCGTCGCCGCCACCGCCACCGCCACCGCCACCAGTTATTCTTGGTACGATGCCTGATAAGCTTCAGACTTCTCTTTCCCTTCTCTTCTAGTTGTTCGAATGTGTCGATTTAGGGTTTCAATTCCGAGCAGCTATTTCTTTTTTTGCTAGGGATGTGTTCTTGTGATATCGAGATGAGATTTTGATCAGCTCTTATCCCATCTTGGATTGATTGTGGAGCAGATATCACCAATATTGTCTTCAAATCTTTTAGAGAGCTGTTATTTCAGGGAGAGAGAGTTCATGAGTGGTGTAACCAAGAAGCATCAGCGCAGCCCTTTGGAAGAGGGCAATGCATAGTTCTAGTGTAAGATATATACCTTGCGGGTGGGCTGCATCCCCACACAAAGGCAAATGGCAGCAAAGATTTGGTGTGCTTCAAGCAATACAGACCTTCAAGAAGAAAGTTGCTGAAGAACCAAATGATGGAGCCAATTACCTCTCCATTTTGATCGATTGCTTTCGCAGCTACAATGCTGAGCCGACCCCATACGCGTACTCATTCATCATTAGATATCTTTTCCAAAGGCATATGCTCTCCCATCTTCCTCCAGTCCTCGATCATCTTGAGAAAGCCGAGAGATTTGATGTTCCACAGAGAATCTTTGTCAGTGTCATCCGGAGCTTTGGCAGGGCAAACCGCCTCCATGATGCTGTTGACATCTTCCGCAGAATCCCAAATTTTCGATGCACCCCCTCCGTGATCTCTTTAAATGCATTGCTCTCTGTTCTTTGTAAGAGCAAGGAAGGCCTTGTTCTCGTCGGAGATGTGTTGTTGAAGACTCCAGAGATGAACATTCGACTTGAGGCATCTACATTTCGGATTCTGATAAAAGCTCTTTGCAGGAATGGGAAATTGAATTCTGCGATTGAGATTCTGAGAATGATGTCACTTCATGAATGCACCCCTGATGCTAAATTGTACTCACTAGTTCTTTGTTCACTTTGTAAACAAGCAGGTTCTGATCAGGTAGTAGAATTCTTGGAGGAAATGCGAAATGCTGGTTTTTTGCCGAATGCATTAGAGTATAATAGTGTCATCGATGTCCTAATCAGAGAAGGCAAAGCAAATGATGCTTATTCTTTTATAACTCTGATGAGATTGGAGGGGAAAAGACCTGACATCACCAGCTATAACAGTATTCTAGATGGATTCATCTTGGCAAATGATTTCCAGAAGGCTGATGAATTGTTTGATGAAATGCTTTTAATAGGCCTCTTTCCCAATTCTGCCACTTACAATACCTATATAAATGGCCTATGTAAGCAAGACAATCTTGAACAATCTCGTCAAATGATTACCTGCATGGAGAGAGCAGGTTGCAAACCTGACATAGAGACCTTCAATGCATTGTTGGCTGGATATGCAAAAGTGGGTGACATGGCTAAAGCAAAGGAGCTTATGAATGAGGCTCTTGATAAGGGCCTCCAATGGAATTCACATAGTTATGAAATCCTGATTGATGGTTTCATAAGCAAAGGTGAGAAGGAAGAAGCACGGCAGCTATTAATGGAGATGATAAGCAAGGGGTTTACTCCAGTGTCCTCGACTTCTAATGCTTTGACATGAAGGTTTTGTCGGAAAGCGCTCCCTTTGTGCAGCAACTAAAATGCAAAGAGATGATCCGCCTCGATAACTCCTGATGGTCGTTCATGTCAAGCTTTACTGGTTGGGCTCAAACTGTGCTTTCAGGAACCCTTGTTTTCCTTCGAGGACATTTTTTGAGAAACATCATGCGGATAACTCCCGATGCGAATTCAAACCACCTAGTCTTGCTGGCCATCGTTCAAAATTTGATTGTGCAGTTAAGAAGTTTCCGATGGATTACTGATCATTGCAGTCCAGACACTGTTGCTTGTGTGAAGAATCTAACATGTTATTATTCTTTTAGTTTCATCACTACATGTGAGGCATACACATCTCAAGTTAAACAATTTCTGAAGCTGAACTAGATGTTATTTGAGTCTTCAGAAAGTTACCATGGCTTGATGATTGGTTCTTTGATAGTCTCCATCACCTGCTGCCACAAGCCTGCCAACTGATGCGACGATAACATGTCTATAATCTAAATAGCTGGTAATCAGCCGGTTATGTTATGTTGCATGGCCTTGGGCATTGAACAATTACGATGAATAAAATGATGTCTATCATTGTGATTTAGCTTCAGTGTCTTGGCATTACCATTGACACTGAGAACACAGCAATTTTATGATTTATCTCAGGATATCTGGCTGGTCTACTTGGCAATCACTTCCAGCCACATGAAAAGGAAAAAAAACTTTCTTCTTCAACACATTCGAAATAATTGGGTGTTCTGCAGCTGTACATGATATTATATTTCTCTTGATCTTTACTGATGATCAGCATACATTTTAATCTATAGATCACGGACTTGACAGAAGAGTCAGTTTTTGTTACCATTAGGGCTTAAGAATAATGATACAGAAAGAAAAAGATATTGTTGAACTGACATGACTCTTCATCTGATCGAGTTTTGTTACTTGTTTGTTCTTCCAGGGAATCTTCAGGTCAATTGAGCATGCAAGGAGTCTGGGAGGTTCAATGTATGCACTGTTACCGCAAGAAACAAAAAGGTTATCTTCATGGTGGTGAGGATCATTATCATCCAAGTCGCAAAGACAAAACCTTTCTTCGAACAGAGGCTCGCTCTCGATGTTCTGCAGGTAATACAATATGCCAACTCTCGGTCACCTTCTTTTTAGGAGGATTTCCCATATGAGCCATGAACAAAGAAAAAGCAACTCAATGCACGCTCCCACGAGCGTTGTGCTCCATCGACTAAAACCGACCGACCAGCACAAAACATCCAGTACTCCCCTCCGGAAATGAACCCTCAGAAGGCCGTTTGCTGTAATGTGATGAACTCATCAGATGGAGCAACAGGAATCTAAACACCAAGCTGATGCTTCTGGCCACGGATCTATCCACCTGTGTCTTCATGTTGGATTCCCTGACAGACCAACCGAGACATCTGATTCTCTATGTGGATTCATCTGCTTCGGTGCCATACTGCAGAAAAGTTGCCAGGGCTTTATGCCGTTCCCATTTCTGTTCACTTCATCCCGTAGTCATCTCCCGGCACATGATGAGATTCCTTGCAGGGTGTCCACCGAGCAAAAAGGCTCCGCACTATCCATGTCAGAAACAAGATTGTATGTCTGTCATTTCATCGAACAGTTTAGGTCAAGTTGAACCAGTGATCTTCTTCTCCAATTTAAGCACGACAAAGAACAAAAAAAGATAATTGTATTATTGTATTCTTTTATTTGAGTTTTAAATGTATCTATCCTTTCAAAGTTTGGAAATATCAATATTTCATAGTATATATATCCACCCATATATTTAAATCTGCCATTAGCAATAGTCCAATAAACTCACAAGTTAACCACAATTAATCTTAAATATCATTGAATTTTATTGGAAGGGGTGTATTAATATCAACTATCATTGTTGCAGCCATGAGATTAATCATAATGTCATACATGGAAGCTTGTATTAATTTAAGAGGAGAATATATGAAAATAACTATGGAATCATATATGTATATTTATCTTTTTTGAAGTTATACAAAGTAATTTAACCACATGAAAAGTGATGCTAGAGGGTATTTGATGGACAATTTAACTATATTTAACATACAGGTGTTTGATTATAATTTATTTTTTAATCGTAGAATAAGATAACATTTCAAATTTGATTATAGTGCATTTGTTTGGCACCCAAACTGTAAATAGATTTTAATTACTTCTTTCTTTCTTTTCCTCCTAATTTATTGTTATTTAGAAGCATCCCATATTATTTTCTTTTTATTGCTAAAAGAATGAGCCATTGCCTCATGTCATTGATGATTGAATATTATCGGCAGAAAAAGAGAGCAAGAAACTACTTCAAAGCCAAGATGATAGAGCAAAGAAACATGGAGAGACTTCACAAGAACTCTATCTGCCTTCTGCATCTGATGATACCTTCTTCATCTTGCATGCAAAGCACAGCTCCAAAAGAAGAAGAGTATGTATCGGTTCTGCAAGCCGGAGCTACACAGTAGTGCTTAAAGAGAAATATAATGTTATTAATAAGCAGTCACATGAATATGAAAAATCTCAAGGGTGCAACCAAAAGCTTCAAATCTACAAAATGTAAGATTATTTCTTTGCGATCTCGGAGATCATAGTTTGAGTCTCCAACATAATCTCTTTATATACAGATAGATATGTGTATAGATCTTATGTTACGAAAGTTGTCACTGAGATAACTTGAGATGAAGAAGAAGAAAAAAAAAGATACATTAATTTATGCTAAAATTGAGAAAACATAAAAAAAAAAAATAAAAGAAGGAGGGGAAGAGAGAGAGAGAGAGAGAGAGAGAGAGAGAGAGATATGATCATTTATTTTTATTTAAAAAAATAAAATACTACGAATGCAAGAAGAAAAAGATTTATAGAAGAAAATCAATACAAATAGAGGGTTTGTATATATTCATTAATTGATGAGCATGAACAAATGGAGATATCTGTACATCTCGATCGGAGAATAATCGATAGAAAAAGAAATAATGGATAGAGTCTCAAGCTGCTTCTTCTTCTTGTTGTTATGTTATGGTAAGGCTGCATTAGTGAGCGTGTCAAGAAGGGATAGAGTTGCAGAACTAAGAAGCCTGACGAAAGCTTACCAATGTGGAAGCCATGACTGCTGCCTGAGATATGTATAACAGGAGGGTTGGGCATGGTGGAGAAGATGAGCACATGAGGAACTATCTATCTCTCAGCTGTCAGATAGCAATGCACGTGCCCTGCTTCTCCACCCTGCACAGCCCACCTTCCACTGCTCCAAAGAACATAAGCAAACATTGGTTGAGCAAGAGATGAGGATGACAATCCCCTCAATTTATACTGTGTTTTCTATCTCTCTCTCTCTCTCTCTCTCTCTTTTCTTTGGGGGTGGGGTAGATCTTTTTCTTTAGTGTTGTCCAAGTGAAAGTTGATACCCCAAAACTAGAACTACAGGATCCAAGTCAGCACACTTTTGCAAAGTTAGTGTGTCAAATAATTGGTTTCTGTCTTCTTCCTTAGAAAGGAAAACCAAAAAAGATTGGTGTTCTATTAATCCTCTTCTTGTGACTGAATAATAAACATCGACATACTTTTAAAATGCTTGTTCTAATTTTGATTTCAATTCCTAGATTGAATAAAGTGATCGACTAGAACAAATATATGTCAGTCATCCAACCACACACAGCTAACATACATATATGAGATTGAATGTAAGATATTAAATTTCGAACCGAATTTAGTATACATTACCTGAGAGAATTATTCTTCTTTTATTATCTTCTAAAATATTTTGCTGATAATAATTATATCTATATATATATATAGTATATTATCAACATTATGCCTTTAGACTTATATGCTTGTGATGGATGATTCATGTTTGTATCCGATACTCTTTGTCTGTGTTTTGATAGATGATGAGGATTGGTAGTGACAAAGGACAACATAATGATCGTGCATGCTTAATCGGTGAACTGTAGAGATGCTTGTGGATCAGCAATGGTTACTGTTTGACAGCTGAGTGCATGTCGATTGTGCATGCTCAATCAACATGTATATTTTTTCTCAGGTCAACCAAGTGTGAAGACTAGTGTGCTGTCCTGAAGCCGAAGGAGCACCAAGTGAACATGAACATTGGAAAGGTTTGTGGTCACAGTGGTCGGTGGTGTCAACAAGCCATGGATGTTGCTTTCGGAAGAAAATGAGCCATCAATGGTGAACTGGCGATGAAAAGTCACTCGAGCACTGGACACCAGAGAGAGAGCTCAAAGCAGATTCTTCCAAAGAGGCCGCACAGCCATGTTCGTCGTGATGGTCACACCATTTGGCCAAAGGCAGAGGAGGACCACTTGTGGTCCTGCAGTTCCTCTATCTTGCCACAGTAATATGATGCCTTCTTTCATTTCTTCCTCAAATTAAATTGTACAGCCATCAAGATGAAGGAAGCACTTTGTCATCCTTCCCCCCGTAGTATTTATTATCTTAGTCATTCCGATCATCTCTTTCTATGTCAGTATATTTGTCTCTGATCTTTATCCTTTTGTTTATTTTCTGAAACTATTTATTTATTCCATCAAGTTTTAGCAAAATAAAATCTATAAAAATTACCTCATAGTACTATTTTTTTTATTGGTTGCCTCATGAATTTACATCAGTAAGAGAATAAGAAGAAGCTTTGCAGAACAGTTTGATTTGGGTATGAGTAGACTCCTATGATTGATTCTTCATCTGACATTGAACCTCAGCATCACAAGAAAGATTCTCACGATTAAGACTGATCATAAGTTGAGATTGGTTGGTAGGTGGAAGAACTCTTATAGTGCTGAAAACAGATATGGAAAACAAGGTCAATGAGTTTATCCTAGGAAGAAGTCTCTTTTCTTCGAGTACTCAACACTCCACTCAGGTTGACTCTCATGAAGACTTCTTCGTCTAAGGAGTGACGAGAAAGATGAGTGGAAGAAAAGAAGCTCCAACGCCCAAGGGAATTAGCCATAAGAATATAAATTAACATCGTATGGTAGGATGGAACCAAGTCTTTTTCTCAGCACAATGTCACTTCTTTTTAATGGGAGAATTATACTATTCGTCTACCGGTTACTCATCATTTCTGCTTGCTACTAATGGAACATAAGGAGAGGAGAATAATTTGACATCCAAAATAAATTAGATAAGGGTCTTTAGTAAGATATAATTAGACTTTTTTATTAAAAAAATATTCTTAAAAAAATTACTCTGGATCATGATAAATTTTTAGTCAACAACATAATTAAAGACTTAAGTGTTAGATTATATGATGTTTTTATGATTAAATAAGATATATAATAGAATTAATTAGATTTTAATGATATATATTAATTAATAGAAAAGAAGTCTATATTAATTATATATATTAATCAATAGAAAAAATTCCTCGGAAGATGCTGTAGGAGGAACTCTTCTAATAATTTATTATAAATCCTTTGTTCTCGCTTATAAATAAATAAAAGCTGATAGGGATCTGATATATAGGAGACAATTGAGAGATTATAGTTACTCTCTCAATAGTGGTCGTATGAAAAGATAGGAAGAGAATAGGAGGAGTAACTAATTTTTTAGCTTATAGATCGATATTACTATGGTATTCGAATCTATAAGATGGTGTCTTTGCAGATCAAACAAAGATATTTTTCAGATAACATCGAAAGGTATGCATCGTAAATCTGATCTTAATGCTATTTGATTTTAATTTTGACATTAACTTTTTTTATATAAATTATAATATATTACAGATTTTATACTTACATTAAGTTGGTCACATAAATCTACTCCTCCATCATGCATGCATCTTATGAGATTTTTTTCTTTCTTTCTTTTATGGGAAGGAGAAGGAAGAAAAGCATCTTAGAATAAGCTGATTAGTATCTTTTCAATATCTTTTATATGTGAAAAATCATAGAATGATTCATATATGGTGGTTATTAATCTATGCATAAGAATTTGCAAGTTCTTTAAAGAATCATGGACAGCTAAAAAGCTGCAGTACAGTTCAGGTAGAAGAATTCACTCTCCTCCAATCATTGGGGGTGAAAGTTTGAAGAGCTATTTGCTCCCATTTTGTACAGAGTAAGTCACAATTGTGTTGTAACATCAAGTTCAGCTACTTTTGTGACCTTCATATCTGAAACTGCTGTGGTATAGTAGAATAGTTAATGGTCAATATGTAGAAGAGTTTTAGTGAGCCACTAATACTCCATGTCTTCAGCAAACAAATGCAAAAGCAATCACTACACATGAAAGAAAAGAAAAGAAAAGCAAGCATCAATGAATGATGTTATAGAGCCATCTTTTTTTTATCAGTAAGCATGTTTTAGAACATCTATGTGAAAGCCATGTCACTGTGAAATTTTGTGAAGAGTTGTATTTTACTTGACTTTAGGGTGTATATAATAGCTCTTGAGATTTCATTTCTAAATTTACAAGAATTATATATCAACAACTAAAGAGAATAAGTCAAATTATGGATCGAAACCAATATATGTCTTCTAACTCTTTTAATATTTTTCATTGTGAAACTATTCTTTAATCATTTTTTTTATTTCTATCTTTTATATATATATATATATATATATATATATATATATTCATTTTTTTTATCTTTATCTCATACATGGTCACTTGATTACAAGTAACAATTTTTTTATTTTCTTTCCTCCTTACTCTAACTATTTTTTTCTTATTTTTCTCCCATCGATAACTTTTAATTTAATTATCAACCTTAGCTCTAATATCATGCTAGATATTAATAAGGTAAGTTAAATTATTTTGGTATACCAAAAATTTATCGGATGAGATTAGATTTTTGGACTCGAAATAGATTGATAAATACTTTTATACTAAAAGCTTGTGATGGTTGGATCATTACACATCCACTGGATAAATGTCATTGGTGATTTCCCAAGAAATCACCAGTGATGTGCATAAATCATAAGGGATCAATCATGTGCTTGTGTGGCATGGGCTCATTACAAGCAAAACCTTGGGTTGTAGGAGTTGTTGGGCTCTTGGTGAGCTTAATTGTTTGGTTCTATTCCTTGGCTAGAGAACATTTTTGCTGTTCCACTTTGATGTTGTGTCGGCAATGAATTTGGACTTGTTCTCAAAATTATTTTGATTTGTTTTGGTGGGGAACAATTGCCTATTTCATGTTTCTACATTGATATAAAATGAGTTAGTTAGCTCTAAATTATATACATAGGATTTAGTCCCGTCGTATATCCCACAATCATTTACAAAATTTTTCTCAAAATAATTATTTTATAATTAATTTAGAATATTCACTAAAAAATCTCAAATGATTAAATCATTTATAACGAATATTAATATAAAAAATGACTCGATCCTAAGTTTCATTATATTCAAATAGTTTTATATGAGTGAGGTTTTGTTATGTCACAAGCTTAATTGATTTTATTTAAGTCATGCGATATCCTTATATATATGTTCGTAAAAGATTAATTTCTTTATAACTTCACATAGTCTCTTAAAAACTTAAAAAAAAAAATGAGTTAGAAAACATGAATACGTAGGCATACTACAATCGTCGTTCTACTTAATATCCTATATAGAGACATTTCGAAAAACATCTTATAGGCAACACAAAATACAGAAATAAATTTTGCAAAGTTCTAAACGATCATACTACAAATGATCTAAAGTACTCGGTACAAAAATTGCATAATCATATGACAAATCAACTCAAGATATACTATCTTGAAGCCTCACGTGTTAGATTTCAAACATTTTAGGACTGTTCTTTGTTGATAAAAATCTTTATGAGTTGAAAGCTTTATTTTTTAATAGTTTTATTTTGCACATAAATTACATTTACAAATTACTAGAAATGAGCATAAAACTCGATCAAAATGAAACTTAAAAAATATAAAACAAAAAGCATATATATTACATCGAACGCATTCACTCCAAACAGCACGACGATCCCTCCCTCGTAAACGAACTCATCACTTTTGGATATGTATTCAAATCCTTGCAATCCGGTCAATGGTCAACTCAACTACGATACATTCCTTTCCGGTCAAAGTTGACTTTGAAGTGCGCATTTCGTCCCACTTTGGTGGGTCCGCCTGCCGTGTTAAACAATTTCCACTACCCCCAACCATATGCTCTACAAATGAAGCCAGCAGTGGACCCCAAAAAACGAAGACTGTTTCCAAGTCAAGAATGGCAATTATTATTATTATTATTATCATGATTATGATGTTTCTTCGGATGGTTACAAGTCCTTCTCGACACAGCTATTACGAAATGACCGTTCCACCTCTCAGCTCTACACTTATGTATTGTTCATCAGGGAGGACAATTTGGTAACTCCACAACAGTTGACTTGACTTCTTCTCTGTATTCTTTTTTTTTTCTGTGTGTTCTGATGACTAGAGGAAGGTTCTTTGACTTTTCTTGCCTCCTCCTTCCTTTCCCTTTGCATAAGCTTTGGCTCTTTGCCGGTCTTCAACAGGGAGGAACACGAGGAGGAGGCAGAGTTAAGCTTCTGATCTGTTCTCATTCTATAGGTAAAAGTCCTTGATCTTTTCATTTTCCATCAGAAATATGGAAATTGAGATCTTTGGCTTATTTTTCTGCCATAAACTTTGGTGTTTTATGAGACTGTTCATAGAAGCTTCGATCGACGGAATGGATGACTCTCTCTCGTCTAGCTTTTCTTGAATCTCACGAGCTTCCTCTTCCTGCAGAACGTTTTGTGCATCCGTCACTGGGCATCAGAAGCTGAAAACCTCTGTGCAAAGATCAACATCTTAGTCTGCACCGATGGCTTCTTCCGCCAACACCAGTGGTGATGATGAACTTGAATCTTGCACGGCTCAAACTGCTCCTCAGCTCGGGGAATACCGTCTCGGAATCCCACCACTCCAAGAAACACTGTTGGATCCAAGGAAGAGCAGCAGTGCATCCATGGATCACTGGTTGAAGCAGCTCAAGTTGTCTTCCCCACTCGGAATTCTCCGTCGAACACTGGACCAAAGAGAGGAGATCTCGCTCTCAGTCCCTTCTCCGGCTGGAATCCGGCGGCGCTTCCACGTCCGGTTCTTCCACAAGATCGACTGGCGTTCTCTCTTCGCCACTTGCAGAGATTGGATCAGGAACCCCATGAACATCGCGCTTCTTATCTGGCTAATCTGCGTTGGGATCTCTGCAACCATGCTCGGCCTCCTCCTCCTCGGACTGCTCAACGACGCCTTCCCCACCAAGTCCCTGAGGAACCACTGGATCGAGATCAATAACCAGGTCCTCAACGCGCTCTTCACCCTCATGAGCGTGTACCAACACCCCACTCTGTTTCACCAGCTTGTCATGCTGTGTCGATGGAGCTCGGAGGACGTCACCGAGCTCAGGAAGGTGTATTGCAAGGACGGAGGTTACCGTCCTCACGAATGGGCTCACATGGTGGTCGTCCTCCTCCTCCTCCACACCACCTGCTTCGCGCAGTACATCCTCTGTGGCCTCTACTGGGGCTACGCCAGGAGGCAGAGGCCGGAGTGGCTCGAGGATTTCTTCTTCGGTCTCGGGCTCGCGGCGCCGGTCTTCGCCGCTCTGTACACGGTCTACAGTCCTCTCGGAAGCGAATCCAACTCCAACTCCATGTCCGACGAAGAATCACAGTGCGGGAAGCATGGCCTGAAGATGCACGACCAGGGAAGTGTGGTGAGCAAGCCAAAGTGGGTCGGAGGACTGCTCGACGTCTGGGACGACATGGCCGCCTGCTACCTCTCCTTCTTCTGTACCTGCTGCGTCTTCGGGTGGAACATGGAGAGGCTCGGCTTCGGCAACATGTACGTGCACACCGTCACCTTCCTGCTGCTGTGTGCTGCTCCGTTCTGGATCTTCAACATCGCGGCGCTCAACATCCACGACTACGTGATCGGAGACGTCGTGGGGATCGCCGGAGTGGTGCTCTGTGCGTTCGGGCTGCTCTACGGGGGGTACTGGAGGATTCAGATGAGGAGAAGGTTTAAGCTCCCCGGAGATCGGTTCTGCTTGGGGTCGGCTTCGCTTACCGACTACGTGAAGTGGATGTTGTGCTGGTCGTGCTCGCTGGCGCAGGAGGTGCGCACCGGGAACTTGTACGAGGTAGGAGACGACAGTCTTTTCAGCAAACACCATTGTGAAGCTGAGACACAGAACTCAGAGGGGGGATGTGATGGTGCAGCAGTCCCCATCGAGGAAATGACTCCACCAATTCCACCATTGATACAGTTGCAAGATGTGGTTGGTGAAGGCGATGACGGTGATACCGTTCGTCCTCCACCTACTTTGTCATCATCATCGGCTCAAGAAGAAGACGAGGAGGAGTCGATGCTGCACACAGAGTTTGCGAGAGATTTCATTGTTGTGTGACTGTATAATTCTTTATCCGCAGCAAAGCATACGACAAATTTGTCTTCCATCGGTTAGCTATGTATGTATCGACCGGAGGAAGTCTCGAGACCACGGAGGAGTGCTCGAAAAGAGATTTGAGAGAGAAGGATGAAGGAAAACTATTATTGGATTCTCTTAGAAAAGTGTTTTTAGCATGATTTTGAAATAATATATTATTTTTTTGATATTTTTAATCGAAATAATACTTATAAGATGAGATTTTGAATAATCAATATAGGTTAAATGAGTTAGTCATACACATACATTAGTACCATATTAAATTTATTATAATAAATTTTATTATATTAAATACTATAATCCACTTAGAGAAATGATGAAAAAAATTTATATATCACAATTTTATCATATCAATTCATGTTTTATTATGTATTTATAATAGTGACAACAACAAAGTCGTAAGTATGTTTGAGATCAACTACATAGACCTTTATAATTCATTGTGTATCTAAAAATATTAATTATTTTGGTCATATAATATATAATCAATAATGGAAAATAAAAAAGAATTAGGAGATAGATATTAGACCAAAAGTAATAATTTGTTGGATTTATTCTCTAAAACATTTTTTTTTCACAAGAAGAATATTAAAATAGTAAATACGAGAAGAGAACCAAAAGATATTTTATAGTGGTAGATAAAAGAATAAAATGTAAAAAAATTATACACATTATTAGTAGATTGATAAAGGAATAATGAATAGTTCCATATCACTAAGGAATAAAAGAATTAATAGACATATATTTGGTTTAACTCAGAGCAACATAGTTTTTGGATTAAATTCTTTACACTTAATTCAAGTAGAAATAAGTTATTGTTCAACACAACATACCACAATTTATTCAATACATATTACATTAGAGTGAAGGTTAAGAAAAAAAGAAAAAGAAGCCTCATTTTTTTGTGCAGTAATTGCATGATTTGATCTTTCATCAATCACCAATTTCATGTCCTCTACTTAGCAAACTTCACATAGTTTGCTCCAATCACACACCTTATTACTTTCAATTATATATAATTATATATATTGCTTGTCTCTTGAGATATTTGAAATAAATAATAGGATAAAGAGTAACGAAAGTGAAATAGGAATCTATCAAGCATTTGATCATTTGGAATAGGATGATGTTCTTCAAACGAAATCTCCTCATGCAATCACTACCATGAACTTTGCTAATTCAATTCGAGCATATCTGCTTTGTCACCTCTGACTTGTGATGAGCAAGTCCCATCAAATCACATAGCGGCCATCAATGTCTTGATGAATCATTGACACAAGAGTTGAAACTTAAGCTTCTTCCGTGGAATTAAGGAGTTCGTCTTGAATTTGTTCTAACTTGAATCGGGTAGGTTAGATTTATATATAATAATTTATTAGAAAATGTTTATATGCAAGATGAAGATTGTGAGACCAAAAAAAAAAAAAGGAACAGTATGAGGAGATGTTAAAAGAAAAAAATTATGGATAATAGAGAGAAACTTAAGCTTCTAGATTGATTCGATGTCGGATTTAAAAGTAAGTAAATCCTGATTAATGTGACTAAGAAAGACTCATCTTCTATATTAAAATCTTTTTATCGAAGAATGAAAATAAAATAAGATTCTACTCGTTGTTAGATCTAAAACATGATGAGGTCCACAAGTCAAATGAATCACATCCTTTACTAGGAAACAATAAAAGCCTTTTGTTTCTTGTATCTTATATACGAGTTATAGGACTCCATCGGAGGTGATTCACATCTTAGTCTCTTGTTACATACTTGTCCTGATGTCAAGAACTTCAATCAACGTTAGTTGTGTCCATATTTGGGAGGAGAGAAGCATGAATCCAACCTCGTCTAGTTTTTGCCGGTTGTCTTATTGTGCCTGAACCATATATTAACGTGTGTGTGTGTGTGTGTGTTAGTGTCCACGCACAAACGAAGACCCTTTTTGGCTGTGTGGTAGGAACACAAACAAGACTCCTCTCTCTCTCTCTCGCTCTCTCTCTCTCTCTCTCTCTCTTATATTCTCTCATATAAGGTAAGCAATGCCGTACTTGAACTATTCAACCATTTGAGCTGAGGCAAATTGACTATATTGACCTCATATAATTCATTTAGAAGCAATATGACTAAAATATTATCATTTTCGAACGGAATGTTGGATCTTGCTAACATTAAATGTGTATGTTAATTATAGTTTATGGTAATAGATAGAATAACATGAAAGACTCAAAAAGCCATGCAAAATTTTGATCGATGTTAAGCATGGAGAGAAAAAGAAAAAAAGAGGAGAAAGTTGACAGTGTAGAAAGGGTGTTTTGGTCATTTCATACATCGTGAAGAAGTCAAAGAGAAATGTCCACGATTGCAGTCGAAAGCATGCACCAAAACCACGGGAGGAAGAGAGCAATACTCCCTCTACCCGTCGATCACTCACCCGACGACCCACGCCTTTTGTGATTGGTAGAACAAGATGGGGCCTACCACTTTGTTCGGAATGGGTGATGTAGTTTGGATTTCGTGCGGAGGGGAAAAGAGGGCATTGTCCGTCGGACTCAGCCTCCAGTCCAACCCACGAGATTTGACCAGTCAACGGTCAAAATTTCCACCCCCCGGCACTCATCTTCTCAGAAGACGCCTCGCCATCTGCCTACATTACCTCAGCCTTCCCTCTCCCTCTCTCTTCTTAACCCCCCCATTCACTGCAACAGCCATCGCCCACCTCCTCCGCTCCCCACCTCGTAACCCGTCACACAGGCCACGAAGAGCTCCTCCTCCTCCTCCTCTTCCTCCTTCTTCCTCCGCCTCCACCATGGCCTCCTCCACCGCGAGCTTAGAGACGTCGGCGAGCTCCCGGCAGCACGCCGACGCCTTCTCCTTCGCGACCGCCTCCTTCTCCGAGCTCCTCTCTGCAGGCGATCCCGGCGACGACTACTCGTTCCGGGGGTTCTCGGAGAGCTTCGGCAGCGACGGCGTTGGGTTGCCCAAGTTCAAGTCCAGTCCGCCGCCTTCGCTGCCCATCTTTCCTCCGCCAATCTCCCCTTCCTCCTACTTCGCCATTCCAGCCGGGCTCAGCCCCGCCGAGCTCCTCGACTCTCCTGTTCTCCTCTCTTCTTCCGTAAGTCTAATGTTACCGTAACAGTCTCTGATTAGGAATTAGAATGGCTTAAATTTGGCTATAAAATATTTAGTTACATAAAACAATATTAGGAAAACATTGTTCCAAGTAATTCTGATTCGAAGAATACTTATTATTTTAAGCCATTCAAGAAATATTTTTTAGATCATTTCTAATTTAAAGAATTTCTTTATATAATTGTGATTAGTCATACTGACATGACAGATCTATCAATAATATATAATTACTGTGATATATTAGCTCAATATGTGTTCTCTGTTTTGTTTCTGAACATTGTTCTCTGTTTTAAGAGTTCCCTTTCGGTAGTAATCAGCAACGATGATGGCCAACTTATATGTTGCTTTGCCTTTAATAGATCTTTCCATCTCCTACAACTGGTTCGTTTGCCTCACAAGCTTTCAACTGGAGAGGAACCGCCACTGCTTACCCTCAAGACATCAAGGATGAAGACAAGTCCTACAGTGACTTCTCCTTCCAGACTCAGGCCATTAATGGAACCACCCAAGCTTCCTCCTTCCTCCCTTCTTCCGCACCCATCCCATCGGTATATCTCCTCCTCCTCCTCCTCCTCCTGTTTTGCTTTCACTAGTATTCAGAAGGCCATTGATGACTGATCCTTTCCGTGTTCTCATGCAGGAGCATCATCGGCAGCCATGGATGCAAGCAAGAGCTGATGGCAGCAGATCACTGGAATCCAATCCAGCTCACTGTGCTCAGCCTGTGCAGACTCTGCAGCGGAGGTCGGACGACGGCTACAACTGGAGGAAGTACGGGCAGAAGCAGGTGAAGGGCAGCGAGAACCCGCGCAGCTACTACAAGTGCACGTACCCCAATTGCCCGACGAAGAAGAAGGTGGAGAGATCGGTGGATGGGCAGATCACAGAGATCGTGTACAAAGGCACGCACAACCACCCGAAGCCGCAGTCCAACAAGAGGAACTCAACAGCTCGGGCTACTGCTCCCTCCGAAGCAAACGAGCATTCCCTGATCGAATCTGCTGCCACGCCCGAGAATTCCTCCACCTCCTTCGGCGATGATGATCTTGAGATCAGCAAACCGGGAGCGGACGAGTACGATGAAGATGAGCCTGATGCAAAGCGATGGTAAGCTTCGGTCAAGGATGAAGTGATCGCTACAGCTGATGAGGGAGTAGCAGACTAATGCCTTTTTCTTCTTCTTCTTCTCTCAGGAAGGAGTGTGGGGAAGGTGAGGGAGGAGCGGCTGCAGGGAACAGGACGGTGAGGGAGCCGAGAGTGGTGGTGCAGACCATGAGCGACATCGACATCCTCGACGACGGGTACCGGTGGAGGAAGTACGGGCAGAAGGTGGTAAAGGGGAATCCCAATCCGAGGTAAGCTTCGTTCCTGATACCACAGTGTTCATCGGAAGACGGCGACTGACGTGATGTTGTCGTCTCTGTGGCATTACAGGAGCTACTACAAGTGCACCACCATAGGGTGCCCGGTGAGGAAGCATGTGGAGAGGGCGTCGCATGATCTCAGGGCGGTGATCACCACCTACGAGGGGAAGCACAACCACGACGTGCCCGCAGCTCGCGGCAGCGGCGCGCAGCTTCTCAACAGGCCGACCTCCGACATCAACAACAACAGCAGCAACAACAACTTCAACATGGCGATAAGACCATCGGCGACGGAGAGCCATCAGTATCAGATGGTCACTGACTCCGTCTACACCGGCAGATCCGATGGCTTCTCTGGCTTCGCCGGCTACGATAACTCAATGAGCTCCTACATGAATCTACAGCAGCAGCAGCAACAGCAGCAGCAGAGACAAACAGATGGTACGCTCATCAAAGCGAAGGAGGAGCAAAGAGATGATACATTCTTCAAGTCTCTGCTGTGCTGAGACTGAGAGGGAAACAGAGGAAGAACTCAAAGACTGGAGACTTCAATCGTGTTGTAGGGATTAATATATAGAGTCATGACACTGCATTTGTCTCATTCGTTTGATTGTTTTGAGGTCTGTGAGCCTCTCTGACAATTGTATCAATTACAACACCAACCAGAATAGTTGGATAGGAAACAACATGAAAACAGAAACAATTATAGGGTTCTTTCTTTCTTTCTTTATTTTAAATGTAAATGAGGTTGAATGGACTGTATTTTTCTATAAAATATTTACATCTCAATATACATAAAAGCCATGGTACTTAAGCATTCTGAAACAACTTGGATTAAATTTAGAATAAATTGGTTAAACATCTTTAACATTCTGATCTCTAGATTTCAAAAATTAATATTAAAATTCTATATAGTTATGAAAGTAAAATCTCTAGCTCTATTTGTCATTGATTTTACCTATGAAAGTATAAAAATAATAAGTAAAAAAATAATCTTAATATCTCACTTACGTTTCGGTAGTGACGGACAACGATGTCACTGGAACTGCGAGTAACTATTATGGATGAGACGAGAGAGCGACGACGAGATGTGTGGCAAAAGGAGAGAAGGAAAAGAACGACGCAAATGCTGACAGTTTGCATTTATGTCAGCACAACACATTGGTGTCGATGCAGATGTAAAATAGCGAAAGGACCGCTCGATATATGTATTAGCATCGATATAGTTGCTGAGCGATGCCAACGCAGATGTAGAACTATGGTGCTCTGCATCTGTATCAGTGCTGATGCAATTGCCAAGCAACGCTCAGCATCTGCATTAGCACCGATGCAAATATCGAGCAACCCTTTTGCCCCTCTATATCTACATCAATACCGACGCAGATGCAAAACGTTGACATATGCATCATCCTTTTCCTCCTCTCCCTTTGTCTCACCTCTCGTTATGTTATTACTCTCTCTCTTCTCATCCATAATTTAAATATTAAAATTATCTTTTTACTCATCGTTTTGATACTTTCATTGATAAAATCGATAGCATTAGAATAAACGGAGCTATATGTTTCACTTTCATAACTATAGAAATCCCAAGATACTAAAGAAATTTAACCACAAAAGATAATTTATAATTAACCCATTAAATTTATTCATTAAATTTATTCGAATGATTCAATGAGATTATGGTGTTAATTTTTATCCGATGATGATTTATTAATATATATTTATATATAAAGGAGTTTTTAGGATTGATAAATATTTTTTATTCATTAAAAAATTCAAGGATTTAGAGATTCGATCCATTCGTCAATCATAAGGATAAACGGACATTAAAAAAAACACATCAGATAAAAAAAGATTATGAGAAAAACTTATAACGAGGGGCTTTATTCGATAAATTATCAAAAACCAATAGTTAGAATGTTTCGTTTGAAGATATAAAACCACTATATTCGACAAAGTGTTTGATTCATTCCTTTCGATTTCTTTCACTATATTTTATTTTTTTAACAAACGATTTACCCATCAATTTAAAAATTCAAAACTTGACCAATGCCCAATCCAAGAAAATGGTTTAAATTTAATTTTCAATTTGCTAGAGTCGACGGACGAGGCATATAAATGACAGCAAAATGCCCGACGGAGCATCAGCAAGCTACATCTGCCGCTGAGAGACATGGTTTTGGAGGTCTAACCATTAATGAACTAAGCAAATGCATTTGCTAAGTCTGAACTTGAAACAGTTTGTTGAAATATCGGCCCTTCGATACAAAAACATTTATTTGCTCCAGTATAAAACGACAAAAGAAAAAAAAATATTACAACACCGGATTCTAGCAAATATCAGTAGAAAACCAAAGTTTCCTTCTGCTTTAGCGGCATAATTGTCATGATGATTTTAACAAGAGAAGCATTTCGTCTTCTGGTATAGATGGCATTTGAGAAACAAAAATAAAAAATATCATTGTAGTTGCACAAAGTTCTTTTAACACAAAAAATAAAAACACACAATTGGACTTGCATAATATTAAAATCCACCAATCACAGGTACAAAATTATGTTGACCACAACTTTTTTTTTAACTTTTACTGGAGGTACTTAATTGTTCTAAATATTAAACTCATCTTCTTATAAGATTAAGGCTTAATAAGCAGACGAAACTGGAGACATAATAATTAGATTTTTGTACTAGAGTTCTTTACATAATAAGGAAGACTTGCCCAGAAGACTAATAGATAAAAAACCAGAAGGGGAGTCACACTCACCTAAAAAAACTTTTTGAAAACAAACAATGCATTTTTTGTAAAAAGATTGTTTATGATGCAACAGGCTAAAATTGAAAGTTTCAAAACAAAAGAGTCATCTGATGCAACAAAAGCATTGCCAGATCGGGGAGGTTTGATCTAAGTGTTGTGTAGTGATGTAAAATCCTTGAGTGGTCAAAACCTGTGACCTATCTTTGGTATACTACAAATAAAAGATTGGGCACACTGCTGACAAGGTGATAGTGTGCCCATACATCGACACAGAAAGGCATCAGTACATTATAAAAGCCATAAATAAAATGTAGCACTTTAATGAAGCAGCACTCACCTGAAAATTTTCAAATCTAGCAGCAGTTTGGAGATTAGTTCCACATGCCTCTATAAAAACATTCACACGGTAGAAATAAACTTTAGGGTCAACAACTTTAAAAACCCACCCAATTCTTGAAATAGATGAAAGTTCCCTGTTATGAGGATTGGGATGACCTACCTTAGGCTCCATTTTCGAGTACAACTCATGTCACTATGACAAGAAATAGCTCTCAGATGACATCCTCAACACACACAAGCCTTCAGTATGGCCGTGATCGCTGGCCACCATAATTATGCCTATCAGGTCCAGACCCCCCACCATCATGATAATTGCCTCTGCGCCTATCTCCACCGCCGTAACCCCCTCTCCCGCCACCGCTGGTGTATAAGTATAAAAGAACACAGTTATTCCACAAATAATTCAGATGTGTTGGTAGAGATATTACATAAAGATTTTATCAAGAAGTCCAACAACATTAATACATAAATTTCAAAGAATTTGCAATCGAAGAGCTACTGACAAGGTCAAGAAGATGCACAATATACAGTATCATAAAACATAAACATAAGTTAGGCAAGGTTAAGGACATACTCAGGGTTCACCTCAGATTATTTCAAAATAATAAAACCTATGCTGACAGAACCTTCCCATATATAGCATTAGCTGCTTCTCATACAAAATAAAATTTCAACAGAAACTCTAATTTTGTTTGCAAACAAATATACAAAGTACTTTTGCTTTTTGATCAACCCTTTTTATTTTGCAATATTTGCCTATTGTTTGGTGTTTTGCCAGCAAATGAAGTGGAACTTTGTGATGCACAAGAAGTGTCAATTCCACCAAAATATTTTCTTTCTCTGCAGTTATAACAAAGCATGGCGACATCCCATATGCAAAACAATGGAAATCTATATTTGACTTAAAAATACTGCATAATTTAATACATCATTTACCAATGAGCCTCATATCTGTATCCACAAACAGATTAGACTCGATGTTTGAACACTAAAGATAACAAAAACATGAACTTGAAGGTTTCACTATCATTTTTATTTTATGGAAGATAAGAAGTTTAAGAGAATATGAAATGAATATTTACCACAGATTTTTATCTGGACAATACATCTGTCATGAATATACAGGACAAGCTTGTATCAGCAAGCAGCTTTACATACTACAAGTAGCAGCTTTTGGCAAGATAAAACCCACACCTTGTAATGAAATTAGCACCCAAACTAAATATTGTGGTTACTAGAGATGTTTAAGCTATATCACATCTCCAGTGCTCAAATTTGTGACAAGAGTTAGCATCTCCAATCACAGATATGCTTGATCTATGAAATCTCTGGAGATCTTTTATTCTAGAAGTGAAACAATAACCTTGATCAAATTTTCTATAAGGGCTGGTGCTACAACCACAACTAGTACCAGTGAGATAACTTAAACCCACTCAATTTGGAGAGGCTAGCATACACCTGATCAAAAAGTGATCAACAACCCCAACAGTATTTATGATTGCAAATCAGGTGTGGCCGAATTTGAACTCATACCGATCTGGGGGCAGAGTTAAGTTGGCTATTTACACTACCTGGGTTTAAAAGTTCATACTAGTCCAATCCATATTGGTCTCCGGTTGGGGTCAAGCAACCAAGCCCCATACATCTACATACAATATTTACAAAAAGTACATCACAACAAACAGAGAAACAATTGATCACTTACAAGGCCTACTCCTACAAATTCTATTCATCCTAAAATATCCAAGGATTTGATGCATCAGCTATCTCAATCTCAGTCAAAGCTTAGAGTGTTTATTTTGAGATGCTTTGTTGAAAAGAGAGTTGAAGTATATGAGCTATAGAATAAGCTAGCAAAATTCACATGACATTACAATGTTCGCACTTAGCAAGGCTATCATGAAGCAAATGACAAAATTGTTGGTTGTAGATCTTGAACCCTTATAAAATACTATTTATATAATTTATAATGTTCAATAAACTTGTGCTTTGTATAGTACAACTTAATTCTTAGTGTAATAACAAGTTGGATTCCTACATTCACTATGACCAATTTCAAACATTTCCTCAAAAATTAAAAAAAAATTTCTGAACTAAAAATTCACTCTTCAGAACGGTATTTTAAAACATAAAATTATAAGAAATTTGTTGACATGTATGTCATGTCCATAATTTTAATACATACATATGCACACATACACATGTCCATGGGTATGAACTTGTGGATCAAAATTCTTGTCTCCTAATCAACCAGTGATGGTACCCTTTTTCTCATGTTTGTCCATCCTCAAGTTCACTAATTCCTATTCCTCTCCTGAATCACCCCATACAATTCCTCTTCCTCTACTATCTACCTCATCATCTCTCATATACCCCAATCATCTTTATAGTCTTGCCCCTCTATTTATCAATCTCTTACCTCCCAGATAGTTCTCGCATGCCATCAAACTCGTGGATTTCAGGATCAGTCAATAAGCCAGATTTGTGAATCCTATCTTGGCAGATGCTTATCCAATATTTCCTGAGAAATTCCATCTCCATTAGAAAGCAGCCAAAAGCATCCAGAAATTGATTGGGATAGGCCGGAGTTGACTGATTTATCTCAAAATCAGGCAACCCAACCCAATTTTTGGCCAACACCAGCCAATATGTTTGGTCCTTACCAATAGCAGATTTCAACCAAAAAGTTCAGAAAGAGGTGGAATCTCTGGCTATGGCAACTTTGTGTCACTTCCCTACTTAAGTTGTAAATTGGTACCAGGATGGGCAACCCCTTAGGAAGTACTTATGAGAGGGATTCTCAAAATCAGAGGCCTCCAATATGATATCTACGACCTTACATTTAGAATCCCCAAGTTGCAAGTCAAGCCAGGCATGAAATCAGCTCTGCAACTTTTCCTAACCTGCTGATCTCCAAAACATATAGGTCTTACTTGCACAGCAGCGCTTTTTCATGGTCCAAAGAATACTACTTCCATCTATAACAATCTACTATCAAACTAAAAAGGCTTCCTGTAGCAATCAGGTTTCACTTTAACACAAACTGACATAATAGAAGAATACATATCTAGATGGAACAAGGAGTAAAGAGACAAAAGAACAACAGAGTAGAAAAAAGACTACAATTGATCCCTAGAAAATAACACAAATGGATCTCAACATACCCATAAGGCTTACAATTTACAAGTTTAATTAATTAAGACAATTATGTTCTCAAAAATAACTTAAAGCTTGCACTCTTAGTGCAAAAAATCTAAAAAATAAAAAATGACTAGCAAAATCCAGCATATCTCATTTCTTTTTCAGACTTGATTAAATTGTTCCATAAAAGGGTTATGAGGTCAACATCAAGAAGGCACCCATTAAGAGAACTTGTTAATAATTTTAAAATTACAATGCAAAAAAAAAAGTTAACTACCAATTATCAGTTCATTATAAAAGATAACAGACTCACACAAAGCAATGCTATAAAACAGTATGCGGCTTCACATTTATCAAAATCATGTCCTGCATTGTCTATCATGAGAGGAACATATGTTAAAAGAGATGAATGCCTATAAATAAGTCCAAGCAACACACTGACTTCTTAAGTCAACAGACACCATTCAAAGATAAAAAAACCAATCTATGTGGACCTACAACAAGGATACGACTTTATCAGGCACTTATGTTAAACAAGACATTTACAAGACAAAGACAACAGAGATTGCACTATATAGACAATGTCATAAAAGTTAATTTATAAATGAAACTGATGAGATTCCAGCTTCTATGACAAGAGGGTCAAACATCAAGGAACACATCTAAAATTATGCATACCAAATCTACACTGTAAAATAAATAAAGCAAGAACACTATCTAAATACAATCAACATCTTTATTGTGCTAAATTTAGTCCCTCCCATAGATAATGCAATTCTTGCCATAAAGGAAAAAAGTTAAACCTCAAGGAACGCCATCAAAAGTGTGAAAGAAATCAACAAGCAAAGGTAGCAACGAAAAAACTAAAAATTAACAGCAATTTTATAATTTCAGCCAGTACAAAAAAATTAGATAAACATGGCTAGTTGGAAGATAACAAGCATGGACTTAACAACTATAATGGAAAATTTTGCATCATGCAATTCACCACCCCTAATATTTGTTTGTTTTATTTTCTTTTCTTTTTTTCACTAGAATAGACAGATATACACATGCTTCAATTGCTTTCCGGGAGTAAACATGACGAGGCAATATGCTAAGAAGCACAAAGACTAATATATGAAGGCAAAATAACCAGCATACACCAGATGTCTAACAACAAAGACGCGGTTTAATACCCGTGACCATATGCAGGTGGAGCTTTAGGTGCAGTCTTCTCTGCCATTGCAACGTTAATCTTGTATCCTCTCATGTCATAGTCTAGAACAGAAGTTTTATAAATATGTAAAATTGAAGTTTGTGGGGAATGACAAACAAGATAATTAGAAGGCATACTACAACTTACTGTTGTAGAAGCCCCCAGCAGAATGTGCAGCAGCTGGATCTTCATATGACAAAACAGCATCCCCTTTGTTGTTTCCAGATTCATCGGTATATATCTTAATATTCCACGGCCATTGGTCCTTGTAACCCCGCTTTTGTTTGATCCTGCCAACCTAGAAATAAAAACAGAGAAGTATTCAGGATTTCTCAAACAATAAAGAAAGGCAGAGAGAGCAGATAGAGGAGGGAAGAAGGGGCAGACAAAAATCTACACCCAGTTTCATACTATACTAATTTACCATTCCAACATCTGCATGTATTATGTGATCATATGCCCCATGCCAAAAATCTCATGACAAAAGAATACAGTAACAAGGAGAAAATAAGTGTTTCTATGAACAATACCAGTTATTGAAAAATGAGCTTTTGACCAAGAAGGTGAAAGGATTAGGCATGCATATTTAGATAAAACAAAACTAATGCGGCCTCTACTCAAACTTTAGAAATATAAAAGGACATACCTAGTCTACCATCATGTAATAACAGTAAGAAAAATTATAGGGAAAGAAAAGGAGTACAAAAAATTCCTTAACCTCTTAAAGAAATAGGGATGCTTAGATAGAGAAAGAGAGTAAGAAGTTTTAAAGTTACTCTCAAATCCAATCTGTGCCTCTTCAAACATAGCCTTTTCTATTTGTCTTAGCATTACCACATACATCACTTGCATCAGTGAAATCATTGGGCACCCAGGTGAGGAGAGGCCTGAGCGCCCACCTATTGAGCCGAGCAAACACCTGATTCAACTCAGGCCAGTTCAAGCCTGACATGAACCAGACAATTGTATCTGGTTCGATTGAAACAATTAGACCGTGAGTCGATACTAGCAGAGTTCGATTGAAACCTATCCACGCACGAGCCTTGACATAGAAACCCTTTCTCACTTCATTTCTGAACAACAGTGGAGTTCCTCCCATCAGCGAACAATGACAACAGCGGTAGCATCTTCCTCGAGCAACAGCAACAGCGGCAACATCTTCCTCCAACAGCGACGTCATCCTCTGATGACAGCAGCTTCTTTGCCTCCCTCCCGGTATATCTCTCTCTTTCTCATCCTCCCTCCTACCGCTGCCCCGTTCACCACAACACTCCGCAGCCTCTTCCCTCTTCTCTCTTCTCCTTCTTCCCCATTCACCACTGCCTTCTTACCCATTCACCGCAGCCTTCCTATGTTCACCGCAGCCTCTTCCCTCTTCACCGTTCATCGCTGCCTTCTTCCCCTTTCACAGCAGCTCTCCTACAGCCTCTTCCCTCTTCCCCGTTTATCGCTGCCTTCTTCCCCATTCACCACAGCCCTCCTACGGCCTCTTCCCTCTTCCCCTCCCTCTTCCCCGTTCATCGCTGCCACTTCATTGCTGTTTGTCAATTTGAACTTAAATAGCTGCCTGCTTTGCTGTTAGTCTTTGTTGTTTGTCTATGTTTGTGAGAACAGTAACTGCCTGCTGTAGTGAATCAGTAGTAACATGTCGGTTGTTATTGCTATTGCTGTGGTGATTAGTGCTGCTTTATAGTGTTTTGGAATGTCATCGTAGCTATCGATAGTGACAAGATTGAAGATGATGAACTGGATTTTAATGATCTTTGATGTTAATCTTGTTTTATTTTGTTATTGGATATGGACAATGTAGTTTGGCACTTTAAATAAATGCAAGTTTGATGTGTTATTTTTGTTTTAGTTTATTTTTATTAATCATGATATATGATTTTTAAATAATAATATTTGAGAGCATCCCATTTTGCTTGGGGGAGCGCCTAGCACCTCAAGCATTTTGGGACCATAGCGCCTAGCGCTTTTGACTACACTGACTTGCATGATAACAAGAGAAGAATTGGGATCACAGTAGGGTTAATCATTATCTTCAAAACTGCAAGTGGATAATCGTTTGCTAATTTATACAAAATATACATAAATAATTAATCACTACAATAATACATTTGTATTATACAATTTATATTTTTATATTATATTACCATAAAATAGTTATTTTATCATACAGTGTTCCTCATTGGTTTATATATTTCTTTTGAAAACTTAAATATCTATGAAAAAATAAAGTTAAAGAATCTTTTAACATATAAAATATTTGCATACTTCTTTTTATTTTATACATTTCCAGTGGTCTGTTGCTAAAAATTATATATTACTATTATTATGTTATCTTTGTGGTCAGTCTTACTGATCCAATTAACCTGATTCTACCGACTCAATCGTATAACTCGTAACTAATCCTCATCCCGATATGATCTTGTGGACTATGATACATGAACCAAGACACATACATGCAACATAGCAACAAACATAAATTCAAATCACAATGGATGAGCTTGCAGATGCCAATAATACTCATATAATTCAATCAAAAGTCAAAAGTAATTTAAGGATACTTAGCCTTTAGAATGTGATAAAGTGGATTTAATCTTTCCATATTCTATAGAAAAACAATTTGAGTTTGTGTATAACTACAATTAAAAAAAAACAAATATTTTAAGCTAGTTGACTACCTTTCTCTTCCCCTATTTTCACATGATTACCAAATTACTATACTATTTATGCATCAGAACATGATGTAATAGGACCACAAACTATAGGAACACCAGGCCAACATATATATATATATATATATATATATATATATATATATATATATATATATATATATATATATGAATCACAGAATGTAACCACAATGAAAACAATTGATAATGTCTTGGCCTTGAATTTCACCAAATAACTAAAAAAAGATTTCTTCTTGAACATGAATTTGCTCAATGTGCAATTCATTCAGTCAGTTATAGGATGAATGAAGAGATGAGTTCTCAATGATAAAAAAAGTAGTTATATGAATAAAAAAGAAAACATTCCATGGAAACAGCAAAAAGATATATCTTCTTGTCTGAGCTAGATAGAATGATCAACCCCAGGTCATCAAAGGTTGTTTAGAACTTAATTAAAAAATCAGATATATCTGCATATATGATGTCTGTTACCAATACAAAGTATGCATGCTATTAATCCCTAAATACCACTGAAATACTTTTAGTTAAATAATTAATGCTTCAATGATGCTTCAATAATTAATCCTTTGTCATTTTACCTCTTTCCATGATATATCTATGATCCTTAAAATCTACAAATATGACTACAACAATAATTTATCTCCAATAAAAGGAACATTGACCTGTCACATGCTAAGATTAACTACTATAAGAGAGGGAAAAATACAAACCTGTCCGATCCCTCCAAAAAGGTCACGCAGCTCTTCTGTAGTCACATCAGGAGGCAAGTTTGAGATGTAAATCCTCGAGTTATCACACGATTCTCCACAATTTTCATCACACTGTTTAATAGTGGCAGTAGGATCACCAGGAGCAGCACCATATGAACCACCACCATGGCGCGGTGGAGCACCACCATCACGGCCAGGATTTGAACGATCACCATACCCGCCACTATATCCAGATGGCGGAGCACCATAGCTAGATGGTGGACCACCACGAACTGCAGGACCTTCAGTGCCATATGCATTTGGAGGAGCGCCATATGAAGGAGGGTAAGAATTGGGGCCCCCGTAGCCACTAGGAGGTGGAACAGAATCACCACCATAAGTATTATTTGCACCAAAATTATTAGGAGCAGGAGGGTAATTTCCAACAGGACCACCATATGCAGCTGGAGGTGGTGGTGCAACTTGACCATAACCACCATCCTCCCTCTCGTTATTGTAAGATCCACCTCTTCCCCCATAATCAGTGCTCCTACCACCGCGGTTCCCAGCATGTCCCCGACCACCACTATTATAACCACCACGACCACCACCACTTCCACCATTATAATCACCACCACCTCTATTATAACCACCACCTCCATCGCCTCTGTTACTGTCACCAGAGCCTCCACCACGACCAGCACCACCACCAGGGCAAGGAGCACCACACTTGTTGCACTCCACTCTTCTCGCAAAGTTCAGGTTTCCGCAACTGCACAAAAAACTCAACTTTATCAACAGGAAAAGAAAATTAAATGTACTAGAATCATATATCAGAAAGACAAGTGAAACCCCAAAGGGGAAATAAGAGGACCTGGGGTTGGGGCAGCGCCAATCACCCTCCCGGCCAACTCCGCCACCGCGGCCACCACCTCGGTTCCCCCCACCACCTCCACGGTTACCACGATCGCCACCTTGATACCCGCCGCCCCCATATCCACCGCCGCCTCCTACATAAAACGGCAGACAGGTCAGAAACCAAACCCTAGATCTACAGAAAGCCAAAACCAACATCAAGGAGACAAAAAACCAATGACAACTTTCAAGGGCGCTTTAGAAAAGAAGGATCAAGAACCTCGATTCCCGGGATTTCCACCATAACCGCCACCGCCTCCGCCTCCGCCACCGCCGCGGCCTCGGCCATACCCACCGCCTCGCGGAGGCGGCGCGGTCTCATCGAGTCCGCCGGAGCCGTACGAACCTGACATCGATTAGGTCTTTTGCTGTCGCTCCCCCGAGGAAGAGAAGAAGGGGAAATCGAACGCAGAGCGCGAGAAAGAGAGACGGGAGGCGACTTGTTAGGGCACGCAGTCTCCTGGATCGATATAGGGTTTAAGTAGGCCGATAGTTTCTTTTCTTCGAATTCGCTTTCCCCATTGTCTTACCTGCCTTGTGATTAGGCGAAGTCTTGGACGCCACGAGTCCGGTCCCACGTGACTTTGAAGAACATGAACGCAAGTACTCGACACTTGGTAAGAGTACTTAAATAGGTTTTATAAAATATCTTTGGAAAATAGCCTATATATATATATCTATATATATCTATATATATATATATATATATATATGTCAGAATATTATGTATCTTATATATCTCATCAAATTTTTTTTACAATATATATATATATATATATATAACATCAAATATTTAAATCATCTGCACAATCTTATTAGCATCCATTATTAGCAGTGATTATGACTTATACAACAAATATACTAGCTAATCGGATGTATAATGGAGACAACTCACTCACACTAATTATTACTATTCATGTTTGCTAATAAATTTTTAGAAATATCTAAAATATTTATTGTCGCTTCTTTGGATTATTTTGAATGTTTCCAAATTTAGATTTAGAGGGACAAAAATAAAAAAAAAAGTTATTATGAGTTAGCCAAAATGGGTAAGTGACAAGAATTAAACTCTTGTATTCATCCTCCCTAAAGATAAGATAAGTTGGAACTTATTTGAAGACTTGATAAGAACTATAAATTGAAATTTGAAATGGCATAAATATATTTAATTTTTTTAATATATTTATGAGAATATTAGATTAAGTTAGGTATTTAAATACTCTTTTAACTAAAATTAACTAATGTTACCATCATCAACCTTGTTTGATGGGAGTTTAATTTTTTATGAATGTTAATAAGAGGGATAATAAAAAAAATTAATATGTTATTTTCAAATATTGAAAGAATAAATATGTGAATTCCCCTTTTATTTAAGATAAAAACTACACTGTTCAGCTGAAAAAAATTTGAACAACTTTTATTTTTTATTTTTATCATTTAAGAAGATAGTTGAAACTAACTATTTTTCCTTGGAAATTGGCTTAACAACTAAACATTTTAATGTTTTAGCCAATATGATTTTTGAATTATATCTTTTTTTTATTCATGTCGAATAGTCTGATGCTAATCGATATATTTAATAATTGATTTAAATACAAATTTTGACTAATTTAACTGATAAAAACTTGGATAGATCATTATTGCAAAATGCTGAGCTCTCGACTCACATCTTATATACTTACCCTTTATAAAAATAATAATAACAATAAAATTGATTAAAATTTTGGTGTTTAAGACTATAATATTATTAATAACAAAACAACCAACCTAATAGAAACAAGATGAACATACAGGTTAATAACTTATAATAATTAGGTAATGATGTTTTATTCTTCTAAAGTACATATATGAGTGTTTATCATTATAATTAAGAGTGTAGTATGAGGATTAACAATAAATATGTGAGAAGTTGAAGATTGGGGCAGAAATTTTAGTAGCTAAAAATTACACAAATTCTGTGCAAGATTCAGACACCAAAGTTCATTAAAAAAAAAAGATTCATAGTATTAATTAATTAATTAATTAATTAAAACACCTTTTAATTTTTATGTTATTATTAATCAATAACAATATCCTAAGCTTAGCACTAATTGATTGGAATTTTGGACTTGAAGACTATATTATTATAGATAACAAAACAATATGTACTTGTAGTTTAATAACTGATTTGTTCTTCTAAAGAAAAAGACAAGAGTATTTATCATTGCAATTAAGAGTGTAGTAGCACAATTAACAATATAAATGTGAGAAATTGAAGATTTTATGCATTTCATATGGGCTAGAGATTTTATTGTCTGAAAATAACACAAATATTATGCAAGATTCAGATCTCAAAGTCCACTAAAAAATAAGATTAACAATATCCATCAATTAAAAACGCACATTGATGTTTATGTTCTTATTAATCAATAACAAGGTCCTAAGTTTAGCACTATTATATGGCATGATCCTTTCAAGTTGTTCCATCTTTCTTGTCCAAGTCACTCTGTACAATGACTAAATCAATGATGATGTCATTGAAGAAAGATATCTTAGACAACTATTCTTATCTCCAAACCTACAATTAAAGTTCCAATAAAGAGGGTTAACCATTCTTTTTTGTTTATCCACAGGTTTAACCATTCCTCCTAGGAGAAGAATCCATGGTAATTGATCAAAATTGATCTTGGAAAACTAACCTAATGATGGGATGGCTTTGGCCTATTATAATTCTTGCCTATATATTCCCAACTCTTGAGCAGGTTGATGATGACTGACAACACTAGCAACTCATTTTCTATTTTGACTAGTGGTTCTCAGTTTGACCTACATGCATTCCAGCTAATCAAAAGTTTAAATTATTCTTAAAAATAGCTATCTATTTTCTTGAAAATTCTAGCAATAGTAAGAACCAAAGAATATTTTTGAAATACTCAAATGATAGTTCTTGTCCTTAAGCTGAAATTTAACTTAAAAATAGGAATACTCAAATGATGGAGTTCATTCATTCATATACTACTCAAACTCCATCCTATAAACTATTTAGGATTCACCTAATATAGGTGGTGAGGACATATTCCATATATTCATAAGTTAATGGTAGTGAAATACATGAATTTTACATATACATATATATATATATATATATATATGCTATATGCAAAATTTGAAAATGATAGATATGAAGAACAGCCCCATTAGACTTGTGAGTACTTAGACATGAAGGAACTCAACCTTATCTGTCATCCTTATCTGCTGTGTCGCATGATGAGCAAGCCATCTAGACCTGCTTAATGGTCGGCCTTTCTATTTTCTAAAATCTCATATTGCTCTGATCAACGCTTTCCCGTCAACTGCTAAGGCAAGAAAACGTAACATACCTTAGAAAAGGACTCCGCTTCGGCAGAGTGCTTGACGAGCAACATGAGTTTCCGCAAAAGTCGTTGAGGCATATCATCATACACCTTTCGTTCTCGTTCATCTGTCGGATCGGTGTGGCCGCTTAACTTGTGGACGCCACATGCCTTGAAACAGACCGCTACCATGAAGGCGGAAAGCAATGACGAGAGAGACGTGCCCGACGGACTAACGATGACTCTGTGGATTTCTTTTCCTTGTCTTTTAAGCCCTTTTTTCTTTTACCGATTCAAACACTAAAAATGTCGTTCAAATTTGTATTGCTTTAAGAATAAATAACTCTTTCTTTTTCTTCAGAGTAATGCAATCAATATCCAATATTTATTGCATCGGTATATATTAAAATTAAATCATATGAAAGGATAAATAAACTTGCTTTAATTAATAATAACCCAACTGTCTTTTCTCTCTTAATAATTAATTTAGCCAGTTAATTGGAGTCTAATAATTAAAATAATAATAATAATTAGTTGATTTAAGTCACCTTCTCGGAAACAGGAGAGAAAAAGAGCCAATAAATAAATAAATAAATAAAATAGAAAGGGATATTTTGTAAAGATTCTTCAATCCAATCCACCAAATCCCGTACGCACCAAGTCGGCCACGAGGCCTCCACGCGCCACCTTCCTCGATCACAGCCGTCTATTTCCTCCCTCCCTCCCCTATAACAACATCAGCCCTCCATCGGCCTCCTCGTCCTCCTCTCAGCCACATCCTTCACTGCTTCTCCGCCTTCTCACGACCAACCATGCTTCTCAAGGCCCCTCCTCGGCTCGCCCTTCTCTCCCCCTCTTCCTCCGATCCCGCGCCGTCGCCCGGAAACCCCTCTCTCCGCTCCTACTTGAAGCTTCCGAATGGGAGGGCTCGGGGCGGGCCCGTCTTCGCCGCTGCCGGTGGGAACCATGCCATCACCGGCGTCATCTTCGAGCCCTTTGAGGAGCTCAAGAGCAACCAGGTGTCGCTCGTGCCCGTATCCCCCGACCAGTCCATCGCCCGCCAGAAGTATGCCGACGACTGCGAGGCCACCATCAACGTCCAGATCAAGTATCTTGTTTCTCCAATCCATGGATTCTTCGTTCTTTTTCTTTTCCTTGTCAAGAAAAATTAGTTTCTTGTGGTATTCTGAGATCTTGTACCAAAATATTTGATTTTGTTGAATATATTCTTCCTTCTGAGAGAAAACAAAATGATTTTTTTTTTGAAGATACCATTATTCTCTTCTGATTTGTTTTGTCTTATTTTCTTAAAGGAGAGAGATTGGTTGGCTCTGTTTTTATATTCTGAAATCTAGTAACAAAAAGATATGATTTTGTTCTTTGTTGGATGTTTTCTTAATTTGTATCTATAAATCTTTTGTATTGTTAGGAAAGAGATTAATTTATATTGAACTCTTAGCATTTCCCCTTAGGTGTAAGCCAGTTAAACCTTGACACGTGTAAATGAACCCAAGTGTATGCATGCAAGCTAATTTGAGAGAAGGATACTGTATAAATATTTTGAGCTGGGTGACTGGGAATCCCAAAAGCTTATAGGAAAAGACTCAAATCTATTATTAAATTCATAATCTTTGCATAGCAGTTCCTAGTTACTATGACTATGAGGTTTTGATGAACAATTTTCTTATGACTGTGCCAAGATGAGGTTTTTTTATAAAACATGTTGTATTTTGTTAGCTCTTGTGAGAAAACAGATGGAACCTTCTTAAACGTATTGATTTAGGTATTTGAATTCTGGAATCCTGTAGCAAAAATATTTAATGCTTTTCTTATTTTATTGACAATCTTTTATTATTATTATTATTATTTTTGTGCAGTTATTTCTAAGCAAAAAGTCTTGACTTGGTTTTTTTACTTATATATTGGTTCTTCAGAAAACTTGTGATCTTTGTACTAGCTGCAACAATTCTAAGATTTTTCTTGTTGATCCATGGTGCTTTTATTTCAGTGTGGAATACAATGTGTCATATGTATATCATGCCTTGTTTGCTTACTTTGATCGGGACAACGTTGCGCTAAAAGGCCTCGCCAAGTAAGTCTTTGGGAAATCTGAGTCTGTGCTTGTATTCATCTCTT